TCTCATACAGGGGCCAGCCAGTTCCTCTCGTGGGCCAACAACAGAGCGTAGAGGCTGGGGTCTTCCTCTGATAAGAACATCAGAAGAGCCCTGCTGGGTCAGACCAGGGAGGGTCCATCTAGTCCAGCATCCCGTCTCACTCTGTGGCCAACTAGTTCCTCTAGAGGGCCAACAACAGGGCAGAGAGGCCGAGGCCTTCCCCTGAGAAGAACCTCAGAAGAGCCCTGCTTTGTCAGACCAGGGAGGGTCCATCTAGTCCAGCCTCCTGTCTCACCCAGGGGCCAACCAGTTCCTCTGGAGGGCCAGCAACAGGGCAGAGAGGCCGAGGCCTTCCCCTGATCAGAAGAGCCCTGCTGGGTCAGACCAGTGAGGGTCCCTCTAGTCTCATACAGGGGCCAGCCAGTTCCTCTGGTGGGCCAACAACAGGGCAGAGAGGGGCCGAGGCCTTCCCCTGAGGTTGCCTCCTGGCTCTGGGATTCAGAGGTTTAGTGCCTCTGACGGTGGAGGTTCCCCTCAGCCACCATGGCTAGTAGCCACTGATAGATTCATCCCCTGTGAATCTATCTAACTCCCTTTGAAAGCGCTTTATTCCCGTGGCCAGATCCCACCGGGCCGGCTTCCTGCTGCCCAGAGGAGCCAACCAAAGGCAGAGCTACAAGCAAGGCACGGGGCCCCCGGCCTCTCCTGCTGCCGACCTCTTGGTATTAGCAGGAAGGTTCCATTGAGCCACAGCGGCTCACAGAGGGTGTACCAAGATGGGGGGGACCAAAGTGGTATACAATAGACAAAATTACAAATAATGCACAAACGGTCCACTTCATCCAACACTACCCACTCGGGCCGGCAGTGGCTCTCCTGGAGAGAAAGCTCTCCTCCCCCTTCACAAACAAACACACGCACACACCTGCTTTCCTTTTTGCCAGACAGGCCAGGGACCGGGGCCCTCGGCACGCAAAGCCCACCTTCCTCCGCCACGGAGCTCTCGGCCCTCACCTGTGCGAGATACTCCAAGCCGGGAGGGATGCCGGTGCTGACGGGCATGTAAGGGGCGATGGCGACGTGGGGGTCCGGCACTTGGTGCTGGTGGTGCTGAGGCGTGGCGGCATGCTCCCGATACCCACGCGGGGGAGGCTGCGGGGGGACTCCAGGCCCTGCCACAGGGGCCGGGTAGACGTTGAAGCCTGGGCTGGGGGCGGCGGCGGCAGGATGCGGCGGGGCCACGGGGTAAGGGGGAGACGCGGCAGGATAAACAGGCTGAGGAACAGGGTACCCTGGATTGGCACAGAGGGGAGAGAGAGACAGAGAGATTAGTTCCGACCCCCCACCCTTAAAATGTTGTTCCTTTAAGACGCGAATGCAAGATTTCCCAGCCCCCACGCAGAGGCATCCTGGGGGTTGTAGCCTCCGAGAAGCAGAAGGGCAGAATGGGAAACACAAGCAGATATTAAGAACTGGAGCCCCCCAAGAGACTGACGCCTGCCCTCCCAACCCCCACATTATGGACAAACATACAGTCATACATAGAGGGCTGGCACGTCCCCTAAAGAAGAAGAAGAAGAGAAGAGATTGGATTTATCTCCCGCCCTTCACTACCCGAAGGTGTCTCAGAGCGGCTCACAAACTCCTTTCCCTTCCACAACAGACACCCTGTGAGGTCGGTGGGGCTGAGAGAGCTCTGACAGAAATGGCTTTTTCAAGGACAGCTCTTATCAGAACTATGGCTTGCCCAAGGTCATCCACCTGCTGCAAGTGGAGGAGTGGGGAATCAAACCCGGTTCTCCCAGATTAGAGTCCGCGCACTTCACCATGACACCAAACAGGCAAAGGGACCAACTGAGAAAGAAGAATGAAAGGGAGGTCAATTTATTATCTGTAATTCTCTGCACTGTCAGGCAGCTGTCGACTCTCCAGGTAGCTTTTAGCAAAACCACTCAAACATGCTATAACCCAACAGGTTAAAACGTGGCTTGCCCTGACTTAGGCGGCCAAGAGTCAGGTGGTGGGCACTGGGCAGCCACGTTGGTCTGAAGCCCCAGAACAAAGTTTGAGTTCAGCGGCACCTTGAAGGCCGACAAAATTAACAGAATTGGTCTTAAAGGTGCCACTAGACTCAAACTTTGTTAGGGAGTCTACGTTGGTCTCGTCAGATCTTGGAAGCTGAGTGGGGCCAGCCCTGGTTCCTACTTCGATGGGAGGCCACCCAGGAAGTCATAAGGACATAAGAGAAGCCCTGTTGGATCAGGCCAGTGGCCCATCCAGTCCAACACTCTGTGTCACACAGTGGCCCCAAACCAGGGGCCATCAGGAGCCAGACCAGAACTCCAGAAGCCCAACCCAGTGTTGCCCCCCAAGCACCAAGAATGCAGAGCATCCCTTGTCCCAGACAGAGTGCTCCACCAAGCACCAAGAATGCAGAGCATCCTTGTCCCAGACAGAGTGCTCCATCTAGTAAAAGGTAAAGGTTTCCCTTGCTCGAAAGCCAGTCAAACCTGACTCTAGGGGGGCGGCGCTCATCTCCGTTTCCAAGCCGAAGAGCCAGCACTGTCCGAAGACGTTTCCGTGGTCATGTGGCCGGCATGACTAAACACCAAGGCGCACGGAACGCTGTTCCCTTCCCACTGAAGTGGTACCTATTTATATCTCCTTGCAATTTCTTGCTTTCGGGCTGCTAGGTTGGCAGGAGCTGGGGCCAGAGACGGGAGCTCACTCCATCATGCGGCACACTCGGGTCTTGAACTGCTGAACTGCCAACCTTCCAGTCTGCAGTTCAGCGTCTTAACCACTGAGCCACTGCAGCCCCCTGCTCCGTCTAGACCCTTTGGCTAAGAGCCACTGATGGGCCTCTGCTCCCAATGTTCTTCCACTCCCCTCTGGAAGCTGTCTGTGCTTGCAGCCGCCACCACTTCCTGCAGCAGTGAATTCCACATGCAAATGACTCTTGGGAGTCCAGGGTGTTGCTAGGCAGAGGCAGGCAATGGCAATCCCCCTCTGTCCATCCCCCGCCCTGACCTGGAGGCCCGATCACGCCAGAGCTCAGCAGCTAAGCGGTGAGGGGCAGGAGGTCCTCGCACCCCTCCCAGTCCATCTGAAAGCTGGCTCGGTTGGGGGCAATGCTCCCTCTAGACTTTGGAATCTTGTGAGTACAAATCCTACGCTGTGAGCTCCTGGCATTAAAGTGGTGAGCGAGCGATTGGGCTGCGGCATAAATCAGTTTGCTCCGGAGCCACATCCTTCCGGAGCACAGACAAAAATGTGTGAGCCGGAGGTTAAAAAACTGTGAGTTAGCTCACATTAACTCAGCTTAGAAGGAACACTGGTTGGGGGGAGGGGGGACAGGTGCTCAGCCACCCCCCCCTTGCCTGTGCCTCAGCAGGCTGGTCTGCATTCCAGCCCTGCCCGTCATCGCAGGCTCTGCCCTTCCCTCCCCTGGGGGAAGCTTAAGGGATGGGCACCAAAGTCGGAGAGGCCAGGACGGGTGGCTTGCCCATCATCATCACAGGGCTGGGCGGGGCTCCCCTCGCAGTGCAGCCTCCCCCCCCCACACACACACACTCTGCATGCTGCCCTTTGTTTTCGCCCAGCAGCAGCAGCGAGGCGGACTCCGGGGCGGGGCGGTAGAAAAACAGCGCTGCCAAGGCGGCGGAGAGGAAGGAAGGAAGACGGTGAATAAGCACTCGGGCGGGGGCTCTCTTCTCTGTCGTGCACAGCGCCTGGCACAGAAAGCAGCAAAAACACCAGCACACTGCAGACGTGCGCGTGCACAGAGAGAGGCAGGCAGTGGGGGTAGTGGTTAGAGCATCAGGCCCAAATTCTAACCCCCGCTCTGCTTGCTGGATTGGCCTAAACCAGAGAAAGGGAATGATGGAAGCCCGACGGGCCCCCACTGGTGGGGTCTAAATGAGCTGACTGAACCAGTTCAGAGAGTCACCTCTCCGGGCAGCTCCCGAGCAAGCGACAAAGGCAAGAGCCCCGCCTCTGTGCGCTGCCGCCAGGTGCGCTGCTTTCATCCCGGTCTCATTTAGCTTTCCTGGCTGACAGCCAGAGACAGATCTATCCTCTGTGAATTCATCATTTAAATGAAGTCTTATTTTGCAGCTATGAATGCCTAAAAGCGATGACTGGCAAATGACAAATTTCGCTGGGTCAGGAGGAGAGAGGCTTTCTGATCTCCTCGTTCTATTCACCTCTGCCTCGCCTCCCCCTTTCATGGCGGAAAGCGCCGTCAGGCCGCAGAAGACTTAACGGTGACTCCGTAGGGTTTTCAAGGCGAGAGACGTTCAGAGGGGGTCGGCCACGGCCTGCCTCTGCGTGGCAACCCTGGATTTTCTTCGCGATCTCCCATCCAAGTACTGGCCAAAGGCAACCCTGCTCAGCTTCCAAGATCTGTGGAGAGCCGGGCTGCCCTGGACCACCCAGGACAGAGCAAAAGACAAACAGAGGTAGTTTGCCATCGTCTGCCTCTGGACCTTCCTTGGCCGTCTTCTCACCCTGCATAGCTTCCAAGATCGGATGAGATCCGGACAAGACACAAAAAGAGGCGGCTGGCCGTTGCCTCCCTCTGCGTAGCAACACCGGAGCCCCTCTCAGTTCTCACACAAGAAATAAACCGTTCATTAGCCAGCTCCAGGCAAGGCAAAGTAAACCGAAGTAACGAATTAAAATCTAAATGGGTGGTGGGGGGGAGAGAACTAAATAATACCGTCCTGGTCAGGCGGAGAGACAGCTTGGTGTGAGAGCCAGTTTGGTGCCGTGGTGAAGTGCGCGGACTCTAATCTGGGAGAACCGGGTTTGATCCCCCCACTCCTCTGCTTGACTTGCAGCTGCTGGATGACCTTGGGCAAGCCACAGTTCTGACAAGAGCAGTTCTTGAAAGAGCTCTCCCAGGCCCGCCTACCTCACAGGGTGTCTGTTGTGGGGAGGGGAAGGGAAAGGTGGTTGTGAGCCGCTCGGAGACTCTGAGGGAAGGGCGGGGTATAGATCCAATCTCTTCTCCCTTCCTCACTGGCCGGAAGCTGAAAACTCCAGGTCTGTTGTTATTTGCCTGCTGTTGTCATTCGGCCACACTCGAGTTCCTTGGCAGTCTCCCGTCCATTACGAACCAGGGCCCACCCTGCTTAGCTTCTGAGATTTGACACCAGCAAGTCAGCCTGGGCCACCCTTGATTTCCCTAAACCAAAAAGTGATTCATTGGGGTTAGGTGCTTTTCTCCCCCGCCCCTTACTTTCCCTTCTCCACTTCCAACTTTTGTGGATTGGGGTTGACCCTAAAATCTTTTTCATTTTAAATATTTCAGCTCCAAGCACCTAACAACAAATCAGAACGGAAAACCATAGTAAAGGTTTCCCCTTGCTCGAAAGCCAGTCGAATCCGACTCTAGGGATGCGGCGCTCATCTCCGTTTCCAAGCCGAAGAGCCAGCGCTGTCCGAAGACGTTTTCCGTGGTCATATGGCCGGCATGACTAGACGCCGAGGCGCACAGAACGCTGTTCCCTTCCCACCGAAGCGGTACCTATTCATCTAGTTGCAATTTCTTGCTTTCGAACTGCTAGGTTGGCAGGAGCTGGGGCTAGGGACGCGGCACTCGGGTCTTGAACTGCTGAGCTACTGACCTTCTGGTCTGCAGCTCAGCGTCTTAAGAAGAAGAGAAGAGATTGGATTCATACCCCTGCCCTTCACTACCCAGAGGAGTCTTAGAGTGGCTTTCAAACTCCTCTCCCCTCC